CACAAAAGAATATAGTCATTTGTTACGTAAAACTGGTCATTTTAGCCTTCACTTGTTTTATGAAAAGTAATTTCTGGCAACCCAATGGAGATTTTTTGAGAATTGAGTTACTTTAATGGACTGATCAGAACTCATTTTCCAGATAAACAGGATCTAGTAGGGAAGAGGCAGAGGAATCTGTTACCCTTATTCTCCAGAAGCGGTCAGTCATGGTGGTGTAGTGGGTTAAGTGGTAGCTAATAGCAAGGCTATTGGCAGTTCAAATCCACCAGCTGCTCTTCCAGAGAAAGGTGAGGCTGTCATCTCTGAAACCCTAAGGAGCAGTTCTGTTTTGTCCTATAGAGTCACTCTGGATGAACTCAGTGGCAGTAGATGAACTTTCAGGGCACATGTCCTGGATTCCACACCAGACATTTTAAATTGGAATCTCCACTGGGGGTATCAAATGATAACCATATGTGCTTAACTAAAAAATCTTGCTAGTTCTGCGGTTCATAAAAATTTAGAAATTAATATTGCCGTAATTCATGCTTTTCCACATTGAGCATAATCTTTATTGGAAGCAAGGTTTTTTGTTTTTTTTTCTGTTTTAAATTTTGTTTTGTGACATATTAGATAAAATACTAGTTGTAGGTTTTAAATGAAGAGTTTTTAAACTCTTCAGACCTAGTTAGTAAGGTTAGATTTGTACAATATATAAAAGATAATAATGCTTTAGGAATTTATGGCATATTTGCATACTTTTTTGTGGCAAAACAGTATTCATTGTTCTTTTGTAATTTAAGTAGTTGACTGGATGGCTGGTCCTTTAGAATCGTTTTTGAATAACACTTAGGGTTTCAGAAATGTTACTTTTTGGTGGTGAATAAACATTAAGCTCACTAGGGGTCTTTTGAGTCCTTGTGTGGCATTGTAGGGTAAGGTTGGTTTGAACTGCAAGGTTGGCAGTTCAAACTCACTAGCTGCTCCTCGGAAACCCTATGCAGGGTCGCTATGGGTTGGAACATACTCGATGGCACTTAACAACAACAAACAACAGTTGTCTTTTGGTTTAGAAAGATACTGATTAACAATTAGCATCATTCTGATAAGTAGTCTTCTGTTGGTAATTCTATTAACACTGGCCATTTTTTCCTACTCTTTGTCTGAATTAAAAGATATCAATGACCTTTTGAATACAGTTGTCTTCTTGTTTGGTCATATATATTGCTTGCATTTTGTTCATAAGATTATTGAGAAAAATTCCAGTGAAAGATAATTGACTTGAATTTACTTTAGAAATACTTTTAATATGCCACACATTTTGAGTTTGTTTAGCAAATTTCTTGGAACTATTTTGAGTTAGAGGGAAATGTGCTTTTCCTTAATATTTTCAACCACAGTGGTTTTAACCTTATAGCTTCATCCTTATAGCTAGACTTTTGACTTTGTGTATGTTTTTGTGGTATTTGATGGCTGTTTTGATGTGAAGGAAAGCAGGTTGGAAACAATTGCAGTCATTTCCATGAATATCCTTAAATCAATTACTTAATTTGCCTAGGAACTGTTACTGTGTGAAGTTACATTTTTTCATTAAAAATTTTATTGGAACCTGGGAAGTAGGCAGCAGTTGGACTTGTGTTACCGAGTTTTCTGGACTTCTTTCATGGTACTCTTTTTATTTAGACCTAATTGATTTAATCAAGCGATAAAGCAATTACCAGCTGTGAAGCTGAGTTTTGTGAGTGCTTGTAATTTATTCTCAGATTAATTTTGACACATTTGTGATGTATGTAAATAGATGATGTTTTGAGAGATACTCAGGTTTGAAATCAGTTCCAAGTTATAATCATGTGTAGGATTTTGGTACATCTTTCCCTTCTCCCATCCCTCCATTCTAATGAGGTACTCTGGTGGTTTCAGACTGGCCTTCTTAATGTACAGTTCAGTGTGGCCTGTGCCTGTTGTTTTGTGTTTCCTGCATTGATTTTTGCCTCCGTTTATTCTCTATTGCAGTCTAAAAGTTGGTTTTAATTGATTGCCCACAGGATTGACTTGGCCTCTACTTCTTGTTAAGAAAATACATCTCTTGTTTTATCAGGTAAGAGATTTTGAATAGAGGGTTTGTTTATATGCACCTTAAAATGAGATGGCTTAAATAACATGAAACTAAATTGTGCTTTTTTTTCCAAGTTTATCTGAGGGATGGAGTTGGGAGTTGGGTGGACTGGGTGCTTTAAACAGTTGTTGCTTCTCAGGGATGAGTTGATGCATTTATCCTGCTGCATTTCTGATTGTTAGGTAGTAAGTAGCTGTTTTTTTCTCTCAGTAGCATTCTAGATTAATTATAAATATAGATGCTTTTGGTATGCTTATTTGTATTTCCAGGAGGTATAGGTATAGATACTGAACTGTATGTTTTAGAGTACAAATTTTAGACATTTAGAAGGAACCTCAGTGATTGGAATGTAACCCTTTTGTTAGTTAACTAAATTAGGCTTAGATGGATTAAAATGATTTATCCGAGGTTAGACATATTTAGCAGATGTTATTTCCTATTTAAAAAACCTACAGATGACGATGAATAAATTGTTTGTTTTACTTTGGTTTAATCTTCAGTCCTTTCTAGCTGGTTATGAGTCAGATTTTCAGTAGTCTGTTTTTACCACTGTGTATCTTGTATAGAATTTTATGAAATCCCTTCTTTCATCAGTAGATGGTTTAAAGACTGACTGTGTATGTTGTTTTAGCTCTGTGTTTAATTTATGTGTTTCTGGGACCATATCAAGTTCTCATTTTATTGTCCCAGTATAAACTAGCATTTCTTTTTCTCAAGTTGTCTGAGGTACTTAGATTATCCATGATGGTTCCCCCACAGAAAGCAATTTAGCATTTTTTTAAGTCGAATAGGACTGCTGTCTCAATTTTTCACATAGCTTTGTGTTCGACTTAGTAAGGGATGAAATTTTTATTTGTGACCTAGAATCTTCTCGATGAATTTCCTTGTAGGTTGCTAAACAGTAAATAAGGAGAGAAGAGTCTGTGCATTGGTATGGTTTTTTTGTTTTGTTTTAAGTGTTAGGTTTTCTCCTTGACTTGCTGGTGAAAAATGAGAAGCTTCCCTCCTCGTTCCCTAATTTCTAGTGGTTTATAATGACATCTGAGTCCCTGAATGGTTCAAATGGCTAATGCTTTTGGCTGCCACCTGAAAAATTGGAGGTTTTCTATCCCCTAGAGGCTTGGCAGTCAGCCGTATTTGAGCATAGTTCTATTATGACATTCACAGAGTCACCGTGAGTTGGAATCTACTTGATGACCACAGTTTTATAATAACCTCAAAAAGAGCATTCTTTATTTGCCAACTCATCTTTATGTATTAAATGACAGTGGTTTATATTTTTGTGTGTGTTTAAGAAAACTCTCAAAGCCAAACAATATATTTTTCTTATGTGTATAGTAATCATAACATTTAGATATATATTTACAGGCTTTGTTGCATTTGGATAGTGTTCAGATAATACCTGACATTGAAGGACTGCATTCATGGAGTTACAGAAGTCTTAGAGTGTGAAGGAAACGTTTCCCCTTCTAGTACTCTTGTTGCTCTCTTGTTTGAGAGAGAAAACTAAGGTTCTAATAATTTGTACCTTCCTTGAGGTCACAGAGCCAGTTAATAGGCATATTTTTTTTTCAAGTTGGTTCTTAAGATGGTGTGAAAAGCAGCCTGTTTGTTGACCTCATTAATTTCAAATTAATGTTTTTACTAATTCCCAAGAATTTGGTTTGTATCACTCTACAAAGAGTTGCCCTTGCATTTGCACTTAACAACCATTAGAACTGAAATTTGACATAAATTTGAGGAAGACTTCTTTCTGATAAAGATCAAAATGGACATGCTTTAAGAAGATTGAGCAACCAGGGATCCCATCAGAGTTACATGTTGGGTCAGGGACTGTAACAGTTACAAAATAAAGTTCACATTTTATCTCCTCTGAAACAAAAATGTCCTCATTTTCCCTATTGGGGCAAAAGAGGACATTTCCCCCCTTTTTTTCACTTTTTTTTAAATGGAGAACTTAGGAATGAGTCATCGGAGCTTAGTTTTAATTAAAGCAGCTACAGCAAACGGTACTGAAACCAAGTTTTAACGTTTTGGTGACTGATATATAACTCAGATTTTGGCTATTCAGTATTTCTTTTAGAGTCTTTATTGACCTTGTTAGTAATAGTAATTAGAACTAATTGAAAGAGTTTTAGGATGGAGTCTGGAATCGGTTCTCATTTGAGACTTGATTCTACTTTAGTGTTAAGTACTATTTGTAAATTCATTAGTATTCTGATTTTCTGTTTTTGCTGGATTTTGAGACTGAGTCATGTAAAATGACACTGAATTCTATGAAATTGTAAGATTTGTAGGAAAGATGCTAAACTAAGTTTTTTATTTTTAATTTTAGTGAGAATATATACAATGAAACTTACTCCCACAGTTCCTAGACATAACAAATAGTGAATGACATTGGTTAAATTCTTCACATTGTGTCAACATTTTTGTTATTTCTGTTTTAGTTGTTTCACTTGTTAAGTCAATTTCAATAGTAATTTTCATACAGCCTTTTCCTCTATAGATTGTTAAACTTTTGTTTCTTGATTCAATATACATACTTCTTTTAAATTGTATTGAATAATCAGTGGTTTGAGTGATGTGACTGGTGATTTTACTGTCCTATGGTTCTCTTTTCCTGAAACTTTTGAGTCTTGGGATTGAACTTCTAATTGTTTCCTGAATTAATGTCTTTGGAAGTTGATATTGTCTGGGTTTTACATTGTAAATGGCATGTAATGTTCAGTTTTTAGAAAATTCAAATTAAAGAAAGACATTGCTGTGCTAGCTTGAAGGGAGTATTTGAGGGCCTAATATGGTAGTTGGTCTTTCTTGTAGCTAAAAACTTGGTGTGATATACAGGAGTCTGACCTGGCCGTTGCCTTTTCTCATCTGCAGGTGTGTGTGGTTTCAGCGCAGCATGGCTGTGGTCATCCGTTTGCAAGGTCTCCCGATTGTGGCGGGGACCATGGACATTCGCCACTTCTTCTCTGGATTGACCATCCCTGATGGGGGCGTGCATATTGTAGGGGGTGAACTGGGTGAGGCTTTCATCGTTTTTGCCACTGATGAAGATGCAAGGCTTGGTATGATGCGCACAGGTGGTACAATTAAAGGGTCAAAAGTAACACTGTTGTTGAGTAGTAAAACGGAAATGCAGAATATGATTGAACTGAGCCGTAGACGTTTTGAAACTGCCAACTTAGATATGCCACCAGCAAATGCTAGTAGATCGGGACCGCCACCTAGCTCAGGAATGAGTGGCAGGGTAAACTTGCCAACAACAGTACCCAACTTTAATAATCCTTCACCTACTGTAGTTACTGCCGCTACTTCTGTTCATGAAAGCAACAAAAATATACAGACATTTTCCACAGCCAGCATAGGAACAGCCCCTCCAAATATGGGGGCTTCTTTTGGGAGCCCAACATTTAGCTCGACCATTCCAAGCACAGCCTCTCCAATGAACACAGTCCCACCACCGCCAATTCCTCCAATCCCAGCAATACCGTCTTTGCCACCGATGCCGTCCATTCCCCCAATACCAGTTCCTCCGCCAGTACCTACGTTGCCTCCTGTGCCTCCTGTGCCCCCAATTCCCCCAGTCCCTTCTGTGCCACCCATGACCACATTGCCACCCATGTCAGGCATGCCACCCTTGAACCCACCACCTGTGGCACCTCTACCTGCCGGAATGAATGGCTCTGGAGCTCCTATGAATCTGAACAGTAATCTGAACCCTCTGTTTATGGGTCCATTGAATCCTGTTAATCCTATCCAGATGAACTCTCAAAACAGTGTGAAGCCACTTTCCATCAACCCTGATGATCTGTATGTCAGTGTGCATGGAATGCCCTTCTCTGCAATGGAAAATGATGTCAGAGATTTTTTCCATGGGCTCCGGGTTGATGCAGTACATTTGTTGAAAGATCATGTAGGTCGTAATAATGGGAATGGATTGGTTAAATTTCTTTCTCCTCAAGATACATTTGAAGCTTTGAAAAGAAACAGAATGCTCATGATTCAACGGTATGTGGAAGTTAGCCCTGCCACAGAGAGACAGTGGGTAGCTGCTGGAGGCCATATCACTTTTAAGCAAAGTTTGGGACCTTCTGGACAAACCCATGCACCTCCTCAGACACTTTCCAGGTCAAAATCATCCAGTGGACAGAAGAGATGAAGGTCAAGATCACCACAGGAGGCTGGTTTTTGTGTTTACTTGAAAGGGTTACCATTTGAAGCAGAAAACAAGCATGTTATTGATTTTTTTAAAAAGTTAGATATTGTGGAAGATAGTATTTATATAGCTTATGAACCCAATGGGAAAGCAACTGGTGAAGGCTTCGTAGAGTTCAGGAATGAGGCTGACTATAAGGCTGCTCTGTGTCGCCATAAACAATACATGGGCAATCGCTTTATTCAAGTGCACCCAATTACTAAGAAAGGTATGCTAGAGAAAATAGATATGATTAGAAAAAGACTGCAGAACTTCAGCTATGACCAGAGGGAGATGATATTAAATCCAGAGGGAGATGTCAGCTCTGCCAAAGTCTGTGCCCACATAACAAATATTCCATTCAGCATTACCAAGATGGATGTTCTTCAGTTCCTGGAGGGAATTCCAGTGGATGAAAATGCTGTACATGTTCTTGTTGATAACAATGGGCAAGGTCTAGGACAGGCATTGATTCAGTTTAAGAATGAAGATGATGCACGTAAGTCTGAACGCTTACACTGTAAAAAACTTAATGGGAGAGAAGCTTTTGTCCATGTAGTTACCCTAGAAGACATGAGAGAGATTGAAAAAAATCCCCCAGTCCAAGGAAAAAAGGTATTAAAGATGCCTGTGCCAGGTAATCCTCCAGTTCCAGGAATGCCTGGCTCTGGAATGCCTGGCTCTGGGATGCCTGGCTCTGGGATGCCCGGCTCTGGGATGCCTGGCTCTGGGATGCCCGGCTCTGGGATGCCTGGCTCTGGGATGCCCGGCACGGGAATGCCTGGTGCCAGAATACCTGGTGCAGGAATACCTGGCACCGGAATGCCTGGTCCGGGGATGCCCGGCACGGGAATGCCTGGTGTAGGAATGCCTGGTGTAGGAGGTGAAGAGCATGCTTTCCTGACAGTAGGATCAAAGGAGGCCAACAATCGGCCTCCATTTAACTTTCCTGGTAATTTTGGTGGGTCAAACGCCTTTGGGCCACCACTCCCTCCTCCAGGATTAGGAGGGGCCTTTGGTGATAATAGACCTGGTATGCCTTTTGTGGGAAACAGTGGTTTGCCTGGTCTAGGACTGGATGTTCCAGGTTTTGGAAGTGGACCAAATAATTTAAGTGGGCCTTCAGGATTTGGAGGGGGCCCTCAGAATTTTGGAAATGGCCCTGGTAGTTTAGGTGGCCCCCCTAACTTTGGAAGTGGTCCTCCTGGTCTTGGAAATGCCCCAGGGCACTTGAGTGGGCCACCAGCCTTTGGGCCTGGACCTGGACCTGGACCTGGCCCAATCCACATTGGGGGCCCCCCTGGCTTTGGATCTAGTTCTGGAAAACCAGGACCCACAGTCATTAAAGTACAGAATATGCCCTTCACTGTGTCTATTGATGAGATTTTAGATTTTTTCTATGGCTATCAAGTAATCCCAGGCTCAGTGTGTTTAAAATACAATGAAAAAGGTATGCCCACAGGTGAAGCTATGGTGGCCTTTGAGTCTCGTGATGAAGCCACAGCTGCTGTCATTGATTTAAATGATAGGCCTATAGGGTCAAGGAAAGTAAAACTTATATTAGGATAGATGTTCACATCAATTCTTTGTAGGATACATCTTCTTAGTGCTGTGATTAATGCATCAAGATTGTTTTCCTAGTATTTCCAGGTTAGAACCTGTGGATTGTTTAAATTGCAAATAGATTGGTTTTTCATACATATAGCATTGGTTGACTGTTTACAGAAGACTCATTACCAGGATAAACATTGCTGTATGTTACAGTAGCGCTATCTGGAGAGAACACAAAAATGATTTTGGCATACATACCATTAGAGAAAGTATTTGTAAAACTCAACCACATAAAGCTTATCAGGGAGTCTAGATGGGTTTTGTTTTATATACCGTGTGGGATGAAGAAAGTAGTAATGTTAGTAGAGCTCATAAAGTGTGCTCTCTAAGCCAATGAAAAATTGAAATTGGCTATTCCTGAAATATGGTTTAAAGCTGGACAGATTTGCTTTGTTATAGGGTCAAAGCTTTGTCTAAAGTCCTAATTTTCTTTTGAATAAAATCTCTGTATACAGACTCATTGTATGTACCTTTATTGCTTCTTGAGGATTCTTGCTGTATGGACAGTCCTGCTTTTTGAAGTTGCTGCTTTGTTTGCCTAATTGATTCATTTGTAAATGAGCAGAACTATGTTTTGTTTGTTTTTTAAATATAAAACTCCATACTCGGTTTATGCTATAACCTTAAACTTTGATTTTTAATGTCATACTTAAAACTCTGTGGAATAAGACTTTTGCCACAACAATAAAATATGGGGTCTTCTACTTACCAGAACTTTTTTGGTTTGATCACCAAGTTTTAGCTTAGTCAGTTTAAAAACCGATCATGTTGTTTGGGCGACATCGAAAATCAGAAACTGCTTTTAATAATAATCAGTGTTTAAGATGCTTGGTTTAAAATCTGTCCATGATGAACTACTTGTTCTGGCAATTTCTTTCCCAATTGATAATGAGATTTGGTATGTAAACTAAAAGAGGGGCCCATTCATAAAGCATTATATTTCTAGGACTTTAAAATTGAAGTTGAAAGTTTTAGCTTTAGTAAAAGTAGTATTGTAGAATAAAAAGAACCTATAAGCTGGTCCATAGGTTGATATGTTACTTGGAAGCATTTTGATGTTGGTCGATTTTGCCTGTTGACCAAAATTCTTCATAACAGAGACTACAAATGCCAGATGGGAGAGAATTTAGGCTCCCTTGCTTGCTCTTTCGTTATGACATTCAGGACACTAATGGGTTGTGGTCAATAAATGTGTCCTTGTCTTGAAAACTATAGCCTTAAAAATCTGCTCACTTGCCACAAAAGGCACTACTTCTAGTTACTTTCCTCCTCAGTTAAAAAGCCCTTAAGATGTGTAATATTGTATTCCGAACACACAAAATGGGAGTTTGGTAAGGTATCACGAAAAACAAATTTTGTCTTTTGCATGGCCTTCTTATCTTGGTTTGAAACATCTTCAACATTTTATATGAATCAGTGTACTTAACAAAAAGGGGACAGCCTTTTTAAAAGAAATAATTTCCTGTTAAATATATATATATAGTGCCTTTTTGGTGTTGCTTCAAGTCAGTAGAATACTGAAATACAGTGTTGTGTAGTGGCAACAGTTTCATTTGTGTGGTAAGATTTGGAAAGCTTTTTCATTACTACATTCTCAGGATTGACAGTACAGGATTTTTGTGTAGGGAAAGAATTGTTTGGACTTTCAAAAAAGGAGGTGACTGTGTTGTGGGTCTTTTGATAATTCACAATTGCAAATTTGTTTTTGACAGATCACTAGATATAATATTGTTTCAATTTAAAAAGCAATATATTTGTATATGCTGTTCAATTTAAGTTTTCTGTAAAGTCATTTCTCATTCCAAAGACAAGAGTGCAAAAAAATTCAGCACTGCTTGGGGAGTCTATATCAGCTATAATTTTTTTTTCTCCTTGAAAAGTTATTTTAGAAAAATGGGTTGTTTAAAGATGAAAGTCTTTTTTCACAATTTAGTTTGATTCTATGCTGGTATATCCTTATTAAATATTCCATATATCGCAACTACTTTGTTATTTCTACGTCTTAGATAAATGCTGAAAGGAAAAGTTGATTTCATTGTTCATCAAAATTAAATAAATTAGTGGTTTGTGTAGAAATTGGAGAGAACTATGTTTTAGTTGAATCACAACAGTGCTTTTTTTGTTGTGAAATGTAATTAAATGCTATACTCTCTGGAACTTGATTTTTGTGTATCTGACACTTATTAACTTAGTGCTAATTGCAAAGAATACTGTTTATCTAGTTCTGAGTGTGGGGAATTTCAGTTTAAAAACATTTATTGAAAATGTGTTGTAAAACTTTTCATACCTTCTTCAAATTTTCCCGTAAGAAGTAGGTTTGGGTTGGAAATGAATTTAATTATTTTATTTGCTTTGTATGAAGGATTTGTAACGCTTTGCTTAAAGTTGTGTGCATCTGTAAACCCTCATGCTAATTTAAATTTTCTATGTAAATAATATCTGTTTTCAGTAACTTACATTAATGGAAGAGAATCTTTTCCATTAAGTTTTTCTCTCCCTTATACTGAGTTTTTACTGGTGTTCATTTTTCTCTTGGTTTAAAGGGATAAGAGAAATCTACAAAATGTATTTTATAAATAAGCAAATTTGTAAAAGTTTTTGAACTTTAGTGAAACATTTAGTTCACAAGCAGAATTTAGAGGTGTGTTCTTGTTTATACTAAGCTTGGATGTACAATCATAAGTGCTTTTGTTTTTTTATTTAATGCCATTTAGTGTTTAGTAAAAATGTAGCTTCTAGCTCTGTACTCCAAGTTGTTGAAGTATTGACAATGAAAATTCCATTAGAGTATTTTTTATTTAGAATTTCACAGAGTAATATTCAATATAGGTCACTCTAACTCATTGGATGAAATTTTAGGGCTGCTTGTGGAAGTGAGCAAATATATATATGTTGGGTAGAAATAGCCACAAAATTAAGATTGCATGAAAACCTTACAGACTCCCTTTTATTGGATTCTGCTTGTTATGTATAGGTGAGCCAAGTATGTAAAATAGTAAAATAAATGTCCACTCATTAATTTTAAGAACATTTAAAAATTGAGTAAAGAAATTATAAAACTGAAAAAGAAAATCTAGCAGTAATCACTTTTTAAAAATATCTACCATCTTTGCAAAATTGCCAGCACTTACTGTTTTATTGGCAGTTCTGCTGGAATCCTGGTGTAATGCTGTAGGATAAACACTGGACTGCTAACTGCAAAGTCAGCTGTTCAAACCCACCAGCCCCTCCTCAGAAACCCTATACAGGGTCACTATGAGTCAGAACTGACTTGATAGCACTTAATAACAAAACAACAGTAGTTGAAACTTTAGAAGCCAAACACAATAAAAAAGCTCATTGCCAATACAGGCACAACATTCATCACCAGCAGATACTGCCTTGGCATCCTTCAGCAGAGGATCTTGCTTATTAAGATGAAGTCTTTAATACTGTTCAATAAACTTGTCACAAAATAAAACAGGCTGATGCTTTTAATGCTTTAAATACCAAGAATATGGAGCTCTAAGATCCTGCTTCCTTTGGGGAGGTGAAGTCAATGTCTTAAAACATCATTAGGTGGTTTTGGGTTCTTTTTTAAAGCACCTGAAAATATTTTGTACCGTTGGAAAGATTGGTTTGGTGGTCTTGGCAGTAATGTTGCATGTATCCTTGTCTGCTAATGCTGAAATGTGTAAAGAAGAGGATACCTGGAAAAGCAGGGAGGAAACTTGATCCTAGGTCAAATCTCATAGAATTTTATTTTATTATGTGTATTTTGCTAGCAAGCTACTCTTGTGGATTCTGAAAGAACTGGAAACCAGACACTCCTTTTCACAGAAGGAATTTTAAAGGGGGCTGTGAATGCACACTAATTACACTTGGAAACAGCAAGAAATCTTTAGATTGTGGATTCTGTTTTTGCATTGGAATGTCGGGCATTTGAGTTGGGAAAGAAGGGAGGGATCAAAAACATTGCTGCTTTCTGACATAGATGCTCTGATGTCCTTCCACATTTGTACAACTTCTGAAAAGAAAAAATAGCAAATGAAAAGTTTCCATGAACTCCACAGTGTCTCGTACCCCCTCATTTTAAAACCTGGATTGGAGTTGCAGAGAAACTAGTAGACTGTTGCTTAAAACCAAAGTTCCTGGAAAATACTCATAATTTATCTTTATCATAAAAGAGTTTAGTCTGTTTTTTAGTTTGGATAGTCAGTTTATTTTAAGGAATTTATACCAGGCACACTTAGTCCAGGTAGTAATCTGACCTGTTTTAAAATGATCAAGGTTTGACTACTAAGCATTGGAAAAATCACTGAGTGAAATCAGCTACCTACAGAGATCCAGAATAGCCTTACCAAGGAATGGATTGTGGTAATAATGAAGTTTCCTTTTTATGCTCAGGAAAGCTCACTCACTTTAACCTGCTTTCTTGCAGGTTACACCAAGAAATAGCATCATTACCATTCTGTAATCCACTCCCAACCAAAAAGTAGAGTTTGTTTTTATGGGCTACAATAGAATTCCAACTTGTGACTGTCCTTTTTCATTCAAAACTAGTTTAGTTCCAATTTAGTTTTTTTTTAGAATAAAATCTGATAGATTACACCGATTTATAAAATGTTTTTGAAGGAATGTACTCTAGTGGTGGCACAATTCCATGATGCTGTAGTGAATTTTTCTGGGAAAACCCTTTCTGTGGTCAACAACATAAGCAAGTTCATCTCCTATTGGTGCCTGCTCAGGTAAATGCTGACTCTTTACTGTCCTGTTCCTGGGTTTATTCTTGGCACTTGGAGAGATACTTTGTGCCAGAGAATCTCACAAGCATTCTTTCTGAATAAAACGAGCAGCAAACAACCAAGGCTTTTCTACATGTTTCTCTACTAAAGAGTGCAGAAGGGCCCAAACACCACTGGATAGAGGCATTCTAACCCCAGAGAGAGAATTGTTGGTGCCATCAAGTCAGTTCTGAT